TTTAGCTATTCGTGTTTATTATGAAATTCTATGACGTAAATGAAAACAATACTAAAAATGTTATTTTTATAAATGAGTGGAATTTTAAATCAATTATCTCTCAATTACGTTTCTTTGTCGATTTCGCAACAGCTCCTTCTCGGAGATTTCTGTGTATTTAAATTCAAAATCATTAGTTTTATATATATTTTATTTTTTAAAATAAGATTTTAGAAAAATCAAATTTAATAATAAATTATAAAAATTTTTACTAAAAGTTAAACATTACTTTAATCTCTATATTTCGGCCGACTTAGTTATTTTCTGAAGATTCTTACGCAGTTTTTGTTTCTCAGCTCTGCTGAGTTTGTTTAAATTTATGTTGTTAACATTAGTATTTTTCATGGTTGGAAAGGTTTCCTTGGTGTCGATTTAAAGGTTTGCCGTCGCAAACTTTTCTATAAACTTTGCAAACTGAAACTCAACGTTAGTAATAGATTATAAAATTTATAAACCTTTTCATTAGTCAGAAGACCTGAAGTGTGCCCTAGGGTGTTTATTATCCCGTCTTTTAAACCTCATTTATAAAACAGCTCTAAACAGTCTCGAAATACTGTTATCGGCTTTCAGGAAGATTCTTCCTCGAGGAAACCCTCCCATTGAACCAAAACTATTTAATATTTCCGTTATCCTCGAAATTTTTATCGAGGATTTTTTTAATATCCCAAAATGGCAACCCATTCATCACATAGTGCGGCAGCACATCCTCATATAAATTCAATATTTTTCTTGTTATTATTGTAGATTATATTTTAAAAAAAATTTATTTTTATTATATATTATTATCGTATTTAATTTTAAAGATTTAAGGATAATTTTTATTATTTATAAAAAAAGAAAAATTTTCGAATAGAAAAAACAGTGCAGCTCGACGCGACACTGCAGAAGCAGGTGCATTTGTGCTGCCTAGAACTAGTCGCGCTTGACGCAACTTATAATAGTCCATGTGTGCACGACTGGCTTTCTTCGAAAATAAATTACATTTAAATTATATTTTTATTAATTTTTTTTAAAGATTTTATTTCATTTTATTTAAAAAAATTTTTTACTTTTAAAATTATATTATTTAAAAAATACCCCATTCAGATTAGTTCCTTGAATTGCTCAAGAATAATTGGACATTTTGTTTTAAGGTGCCCAATATGATGGCACCTTTTTACAGAAACTGTGTGGGAAGATCCCAAATTTTTTGTTGGTACTTAAAAACAAAACATTTAAAATCTATCATAAAATATTATATAAATAATTTAATACTGAATAATAAAATATACCAATTTTACGCAAATCATAATGGTTTGATCTTGGTATGGCAATTTTTGTGGGAATTGAACCTGTACGGGAAAACCTGTTGGCACTTTCTGATTTCCATGCATTCCAGTCGCAGGCTTCCAAACTCGGCACAGATTTTTGGGAGAGAGGAATTTGAAAGTTGAAGAAGTGCTAGAGACTTGTAGGTTGCAACAAGGAGATTATATCATAGATTCAATTTGTTTTTGTTTATTTATTGCGTTTTGTAAATTGAGAAAAAACGATATTTAATTAAGTTACAACGCAATAATTTGTCATTAAACAAACATGTAATAATGTTAAAAATTGAGTTCCTTTATATTTTTCTAATGATTGTTTTTGCAACTTTAAACATTTGTTTAGTTGAGAATTTTATTACATACATGAAAATAACATTTCTTATTTGAGAATAAGACATTTTCGCTGCCACGTAAATATAAATGTTTTTGTTGATAAACAGTTAATGAAATAATTTAAGCTAGTACTACGTGTATCTATTAAAACCCAATGAATTCTGTCAATAATCATCAGTATTTAAAAATAATTCAAAAATATTACAACATAAGAATGAAGGTAAATGTTTTCGCAACTTATATGCTTTAACTCCCACCCCAATTATTCGTAAGCTCAAAATGGTCAAAGTAATCCTAAGGTCGTTAGTGAGACGATTGTACAAACTCCCGACGGTGGTTTGCGGCACTCGTCTCTCGGGAGCCAACATTCGCTTGGTCTTTGTTAACATTAACATAGGCCGTAGTGATTTTGAGAGTTAATAAAGTCGAGAGTTCGAGAACGAGACCATACCGATAGTGATAAGAGGGATATCCCTGAAGTCCCTCCAAATCTCCAAGTATACTTCATAATCCCCACAATTACTTGAATCCCCAAGTCCACAATATATATCCACTGATCTTCACATTAATCCCTCAAAATCCCTCATATCCCTCAATATCCCATCAAATCCAACGATATCTTCTTGATCCCTCGATGCCACGTACAAATTCTTTGATATTAAATTTAGTCCTTGAGATTCACTAGTATCCCTCTTAATCCTTTCTAATCTTATTAAATTAAAATTTTTGCGACTTAATTTTTTAATAATAAATATTCCAAAAATGAAGGTAAATACTCAATGCCTTCATTTAAATTTTATGGCAAATTTTAGTTGATACTTTTGGTTTTTATTCAAATGTGCTTAATCGCATTAGTATTATCTGATGCTAAACGACGTATGGGTTCAATTTTAATGAATATTCGGAATTTAGTTTTAGTTTCAAAACTGCCACCTTGCAATAAGTATAACAAATGTCCATATGGGTATAAGTGCGAGTATTATGTCTGTGTCCCTTTCAAGCCTACGACTACAACAACAGTGGAACCGACCACATCCAAAGAAAGCAAGAAATTATTTGAAAATTTTGTTAATCTATAAATTCAGAAGAATGTTGTTATATCGGAAATGACTTTAAAAATTGTTACTGGTGTTATGGGCCATACAGATGTGCTGAAGGCCGTTATTGTCAATACATTCCTCCACCAACACAACCTCCACCAACACAACCTCCCACAACTCGACCAGAAACACCATCAACAACTCCAAAACCAACACCCTGTGATAAGCATACCAAGTGTCCACACGGATATGAATGTGAGTATGAAGTCTGCATACCTGTACCTACGACAACTACAACAGTGGAACCGAACACATCCAAAAAATGCAAGAAATTGTCTGAATGTTTTGTTAATCTTTAAATTCAGATGAGTGTTGTTACATCGGAAATGCCTTTAAAGATTGTTACTGGTGTCGCGGACCATACAGATGTGCTGGAGGGAATTATTGTCAATATGTTCCTCCGCCAACACAACTTCCACCAACACAACCTTCCACAACAACACCTTCAGCAGATTGTGATAAGTATGGCAACTGTCCAGAGTGATCAAGTGTGAGAATGATGTTTGTGTAAAACTTGTATCCAGATGTTGTTAATTTGTCTAAACATGAGTTTATTAAATAAGTGATATGCACATTATATTGTGATAATAATATTAATAAAGCTTTAAATTTATGTTAACTCAATGTTATTTATTTGTGGGTCTTGTAAAGGTATTGTTAGCGATTTAAACTTTTTATTCCAAAAAATCGCCATATAACACCATATTATGTTACGGCCCTTGATATTGTTTAACTTTTCCATTTCTGTTAACTTTTCCTAAACTTTTCCATTTCTAATCCCTCGTAAATTTATAGTTATTTCGTATTTGTACTACATGAATACAGATACCTTTAATGAAATTTTGATGAAAATTTGATAACAATTTGAAGTTTTTGGTATTGTAAAGCATATAGCTATTAATTTCCTAAGGCTTAGCAGTAGGCGGCGTGGTGTAATAGCTAACACATCAGTCCTGTCTACTGAAGATGCTGGTTCGCTCCCAGCCGCCGAATAACCTTTTGAACTAGCTAAAGGAGAGAAATAGCTATAGCCCAGCTGCTTTACTGTTTTTATCGGTATTTACTTCACCGGTATTAAACTACTGAATAAATAACGGTACATCGGTATATTTGATAGAATGGCCAAGCATACTTCCAATTATCTTAATCCACTTTGCTTAATCCACTAAAGTGATTATAAATTTTAATTAAATAAATTGTTAATTTTTAAAAATTTAATATTGATTAATCAATTTTAATTTTTACCCTCGCCCGCCCGCCACTTTCAATTTTAAAATTGCCAAAAAATTTAAATAAAATTTAGTTTATTCAGCATTAAAATTAAATTCTCTGAATCCATCAAGGAACTAAAAAATTTATTTAATAAATTTTTATAAAATTTATAAAGAAAATTGTCTGCCTTCCTTCGAGTACTATATCTCCTTTTTTGGACATTTTAAATTTTTAAATAAATTTTTATCTTTAAAATTTGCCAAAATTTATCTTTAAAAAGTTTGGATAGCGGGTAATCTCAAGGAAGAAAATTTTAAAAAATTCTCTCGCTAGCGTGAAAAAATTTTTATTTGATTTCTCTCACTTCTCTCTCACGTGGATTAATGATGGTGGAGTAGACGGGTTTAATCCACGTTTCAGCATACACGCTTGATAGGCTTAAAATCATTCTTCATATATAATCCACAACGGTTACGGGATGAGTATCACATCCAAGTTTTATTTAAAAATTTTTTTATTCTAATATAAAGCTAAAGCATTAAAATTAGAAAAAAACTTATCATGCTACCTTCCAATGCTTAATTTCAGTCTGAAAGGGATGTTCTCTATATCTCTCTTTCATAGTCCGAGGGAGACTTGCCATCTCAATACTTATTCCTAGACCGAAGAGGATATGTTCATCATGGTCCGAACGGGACATGCTAACTTTCATGCTTATTCCTAGTCAGTAGTGTTGTTTCTATTCACTTTAGACACTTCCTAGTCCGAATGGGACATGTTCTTTTTAGCTTACTCGTTGTCCGAAAAGGATTAGAAATCATGGCTGAACGGGACATGCTACCTTTCAAGCTTATTCCTAGTCAGTAGGGTTTCTATCCATCCTAGGTACTTCCTAATCCGAATGGGACATGTTCTCTTCAGCCTACTTGTCCGAAAAGGATTAGGATTGATCCTAAAGGCTTATGTTCCTAGTTGACTGGGGCTTATACTCTCCTGGGCGTTCAGCCCTTCTGGCCAGTGCGAAGAGACATATGTTCTCTTAATCCGACATCGTATGAACGACATAATAAAACTTGAATTGCAGGGAATAAATTTTAAAAGGATGCATCTTTCTTCTATTCTTATCATCCTTCCAATACTATTTTCTTACATCCTGGCTCAACAAATACCGAATTGCCAAACAAGAATATTCCAATGCGATGCTGACTGGCAGACTCGTACTGATCCAAATACAGGAGACGTTTATGGCTATAAGGCTTTTATTCAGAATAAAATGAATTTTTATGAGGTCATTCTTAACCACAAAAATTCCACAAAATTATATTAATACTTCAATTTAGGCCGACGTATTCTGTAGAGCTCGATGCGCAGAGGTAGTCAGCATCCACAGCCAAGAGGAACAAGATTTCGTTAGACGTATTACCGCACCAGTGCTTAACCGTTGTCAATTCACTTCGGCTTGCACACCGGTTGTACAATCAACTGACCCATCGTTCAATCGTCAGCTTCGTTCATTTTGGATCGGATTGAATCGTGTCACAGGGACTCTTAAAGATGCCCATTCAGTTGATAACAGTGTCTATCAATTGTGGTCCGACCGTACCGAAGTTGGCTTTGGATCTTTCCCTAATAATTCGGTGAATTCAAATACCAATAGCCCTCCTTGGACTCGTGGAAATCCATCTGGAGTGAAATCAGGTTATTTATTATTACCATAAAATAAGTAGTGTTAAGTACAGATACCCCTTCTTGCGATTCCTGACGGTTCCAAAATAGTGATGGCTCTGGAACAGGCTAAAAATTGTCTCGAGCCACATTACTGAAAAAAAACTGTCTATTCGAAAGAGACTCTTCAGCTTACTTTATAGTCTGAACGGGTCATGTTCTGTCAAGACTATTTTCTTGTCAAACCGGGTCTTGTTCCCTTCAGTCTACTTTATATCTCAAAAGGTGCACATGCTATCAGTCCAGCCTACTTCACCGTTTGAAACGGACATCCTCTCTTAGGCTTAATTTCTTTTTGGCATAACTCGAACCTAGCAATAAAGTTGTTGATTCCAACATTATAAAAGAAAATAAAAATATTTTAATAAATTATAGATGACCGACAAGTCATTGAGGATTGTACTCAGATGGTCGAGAGCCGACAAGGTGGATGGAACGACTTTCCATGCAACTGGCGCATCAGTGGAGTTATTTGCAAACGTAAATGCACTTCCTACTGTGCTGCTCAAGATGTTTGAATAAAAATGATGTAATAAAAGAATGGTGAAATGATAAAATGAATTGAAAGACTTTATAATGTAATTTCTTCTTCGAAAATTTAAAAAAACTAAAAACATCTTTTATGGCATTTAACTAAAATAAAATTTTCAAATTTCTTTATCTATTTAATTGAAGAATAATAAGCTAGGATTTACTCTCTAAGAAGACATACTGTAAAATATCAGATCTTTGATGTCCGTAAATTGATCTATGATAATCGCCCAATTTTATGATTATCTTCTGTGATAACAGCAGTGATTTTTTGAAATAAGGCTTAGAACTACAATTTATTCAACATTGTAGCTCCGCTGTAAATGAGGACGGGAAGGAAATGAATCCCTTCTTGAGATTCATTTCCTTTCTTGAGTATGGATATCGAATTATAAGACTCACTTGGCGTCGAATTTTCCGATGGACAGGAAGCTAGATCTGAGTGATAGTATATATATGCTTATTTTGGAGGTATGTTGCTTGATGAGGGCAAGAACCAACGCAGAAGTCGAAAAAGGCGGAAAACGTATGATTCCGATTTGACTTAGTCTCATGTCATTTTCCTCCTTATGCCAGTTAAAATCGTCCTCGATTACAATATCTGTCGGATTTACGTTTTTTACTTTCAATATATCAGAGAATCCTATCACTTATTTAATATTCCTGACATTAATCACCAAATTGGACCGACTCGGACCGAAAGATCGAGACGGGCTTGGCACATATGGCCCAAAAAAACTCGTACATATGACTCGACTCGATAAAGTTAGGCCCGAAACTAATAGTACAGGCCTGACTCGATAAAAATAAGCCCGAAAAAATGCCTCGGCCATCGGTCCGACTCGAAGCCGACAACTGTTTTCTTTATATTTAATTAACAACCGCTGACGTTTGATTTTTTATCTCCCTCTATCATCTCTCTCTTTCTTTCCCTCCACAGTTACTAATTTTTAAATTTTAAGTCTCTCAGCTTAGCTAAACTTTTTATAAAAAATTATTTAAAACATTGCCAAATAGTTATTTAATTTAATCCACGTATTTTTCCAATGCTGAAATTCACGCGTCAATTTTAAAAATTCTTTTAAAATTTCCCAAATTGTACCAGAAAAAATTTTAATAAATTTAAAATTGAAAGAGATATAAAATATGAGCAAACACGAAATAGAAATGCTGGGAAGGCCAAAGCCTTTGGGAAGGCCAAAAATTAAATAAAGGGAATCTTATGACTTTAAATTTTAATAAATTATTTTAATAAATAATTATTTTAATAAATTTTTATTAAATTAATCCAAGAAGCGGATAAATTAATAAAAATGAAAATTGCTTCTTTTCTCGTCTGTCTTTCAATAATATTATTTTTTAATTCTTTAACTGCTCAAAAAATTCCAAATTGCCCTGCGAGGAATTACAGCTGTGATACTGACTGGCAACTTTTCACAGACCCAAATAGCGGTGTTGAGTATGGATACAAAGCTTTTATTCAGGATTCTATCAATTTTTATGAGGTGTTAAATTTATTCTTTTAAAATAGCGGATGATGGAGCCAACTAAGCGATACAATTACAAATATGGCCAAATATAAGATACTCTTCGATCTAGGATACTTTGTGCGTGTCGGCTCACTTTACACTATAGAATACCCCTAAAGATAAAATAAATTAACTACAAGTTAAATTAATTTATTTGGTTTGTTAACCATTAGGATCCCCAATTTAAAATGAGGTTCCTACTGCTCACAGCAAGATACTCCCGATATAAGATAAATCTTAAGTTTTCAAATTATGTATGGCTACTAGGGATTTTTGAGAGATGGGAGGGGCGATAAGGGGGGAGGCGAAAGCCTGGCGATTCCCCCTGATTAAGTATCCTAATGTGTTATCTAGAAATAAGGCACACTATTTAAATATTAAAATACAGGCCGACATATTCTGTCGAGATAGATGCGCAGAATTAGTGAGCATCCACAGCCAACAGGAACAAGATTTTGTTACTAGAATCGCCGGCCCTTTGTTGACCAAATGCCAATTTACTGATGCCTGTTCAGAACGCATGGAGCACACCAACAAATCCGCAGCTAACTTTGACAGAATGCTACGAGGATTTTGGATTGGAATGAACCGTGTTTGGGGCACCCTACTCAATCATGATACGATAGACACAAATGTAACTTGTATTTGGTCTGATCGTTCAAATTGTAACTATGGAGCCGTCGCTACTGGTTCGGTGACCCCGGATACGGTGATTCCGCCTTGGGCCAGAGGAAATCCGAATGGAGCTAATCCAGGTATTTTTAATTAAGCTCTCTTCGAATATGATCATTTTCCTTTTGGTATCAGATTTCTTGGTTTCAGTCCTGATCAGACATGGGCGAAACTCTTTGGAAGGCTGAAAAGACGAATTTTTCCTTTTTTTAACGCAGCAGGCGAACATTTCTAAATTATTAATAACATAGTGTAAATTTTTTTAAATTTTGTTTTTAGTTTAGGTTTAAAAAATAGATTCGTTTCGTTGACAATTTAAAAGTGTTTCGTAACGAAACGAGACAAATTTTTCAGTGTTTTGTAACGAATCGAGACGAAACCGTAAAAATCATACGAAACAACGAACCGAAACGTTTCGCCCATGTCTGGTCCTGATCAGAATTAGGGTTGATCGAAATCTCATTTTCGAACCTATACGAAATAGTAATATTTTATTTCGTTCCAATTCGGATTGAAAATTTTCATTATAGCCCTCACGAGAACAAAATTTTAACAATTTCTATGTTCCATAAATTTTCCCTTTTTTTTGGAAAAAGCGCTTTGCCTTAAATTATATATTCACAAAAAAATTTAAATTTTATCTTTGTTATTGAGGTCCGATTGGTTTGAAATTTTTTATCAAAACTCTTTTTAGCTTTAAAATCATCATTACATAACGATATTTATTTCGAGAAAAAATTGAATAAATATAAAATTTTCCTTAAAAAATGGTGTTCCGGAATCACTATATCAGGACCCTGCACAAGAGAATGCCCCTTAAATCGGGAGTACATATAAGTATATCAATTAAAATTGTTATAATTATACAGGAGGAGACCCTCTAATAGTCCAGGCTTGTGTACAAATGGTTGAAGGACGGCATGGTGGATGGAACGACATTTCTTGCACATACCGGCTCGGGGGACTTATTTGCAAACGCAAATGCAGTTCATACTGTGCTGCTCAAGATGTTTGAATATTCAGGAAAATGACATTAATATAAATTTAATTTCTAATGGTTTTAAAATTTTAAGATAAAAATAACTGATTTTTATAAAAATTTTATTAAATAATAAAATATAACAATACAGAAATATTTTTGTTTTCACTATTTAATTCACATTAAAGGTGCAAAAAACCTTTTAATTTTTCCGGAGACACATTATTTCCTCAAAAAAGAATAAAAATGTGAAAGATATTTAATAAACACTAGGTTATGAGTCCTATTCGGATATTTGACCCCAGAGAAAAATTAAGTTAGTTTAGAGATTTTATCAGACTTCGGATATTTGATCTCTTGAAACCCGATAATTATATCGGGTTTCGTTTAGAGATTTTATCAGACTTCGGATATTTGACCCCAGAGAAAAATTAAGTTAGTTTAGAGATTTTATCAGACTTCGGATATTTGATCTCTTGAAACCCGATAATTATATCGGGTTTCGTTTAGAGATTTTATCAGACTTCGGTAATTTGATCTCTTGAAACCCGATAATTATATCGGGTTTCGTTTAGAGATTTTATCAGACTTCGGTAATTTGATCTCTTGAAACCCGATAATTATATCGAGTTTTGTTTAGAGATTTTATCAGACTTCGGTAATTTGATCTCTTGAAACCCGATAATTATATCGGGTTTTGTTTAGAGATTTTATCAGACTTCGGGAGATTGATCTCTTGAAACCCGATAATTATATTGGTTTTCGTTTAGAGATTTTATCAGACTTCGGGAGACTGATCTCTTGAAACCCGATAATTATATCGGTTTTCGTTTAGAGATTTTAAAAGACTTCGGGAGATTGATCTCTTGAAACCCGATAATTATATCGGTTTTCGTTTAGAGATTTTATTAGACTTCGGATATTTGACCCTAGAGAAAAATTAAGTTAGTTTAGAGATTTTATCAGACTTCGGAGATTGATCTCTTGAAACCCGATAATTATATCGGTTTTTGTTTAGAGATTTTATCAGACTTCGGGAGATTGATCTCTTGAAACCCGATAATTATATCGGGTTTCGTTTAGAGATTTTATCAGACTTCGGTAATTTGATCTCTTGAAACCCGATAATTATATCGAGTTTTGTTTAGAGATTTTATCAGACTTCGGTAATTTGATCTCTTGAAACCCGATAATTATATCGGGTTTCGTTTAGAGATTTTATCAGACTTCGGGAGATTGATCTCTTGAAACCCGATAATTATATCGGTTTTCGTTTAGAGATTTTATCAGACTTCGGGAGATTGATCTCTTGAAACCCGATAATTATATCGGTTTTCGTTTAGAGATTTTATTAGACTTCGGATATTTGACCCTAGAGAAAAATTAAGTTAGTTTAGAGATTTTATCAGACTTCGGGAGATTGATCTCTTGAAACCCGATAATTATATCGGTTTTCGTTCAGAGATTTTATCAGACTTCGGGAGATTGATCTCTTGAAACCCGATAATTATATCGGTTTTCGTTTAGAGATTTTATCAGACTTCGGGAGATTGATCTCTTGAAACCCGATAATTATATCGGTTTTCGTTTAGAGATTTTATCAGACTTCGGGAGACTGAACTCTTGAAACCCGATAATTATATCGGTTTTAGTTTAGAGATTTTATCAGACTTCGGGAGATTGATCTCTTGAAACCCGATAATTATATCGGTTTTCGTTTAGAGATTTTATTAGACTTCGGATATTTGACCCTAGAGAAAAATTAAGTTAGTTTAGAGATTTTATCAGACTTCGGGAGATTGATCTCTTGAAACCCGATAATTATATCGGTTTTCGTTTAGAGATTTTATCAGACTTCGGGAGATTGATCTCTTGAAACCCGATAATTATATCGGTTTTCGTTTAGAGATTTTATTAGACTTCGGGAGATTGATTCTTGAAACCCGATAATTATATCGGTTTTCGTTTAGAGATTTTATCAGACTTCGGGAGATTGATCTCTTGAAACCCGATAATTATATCGGTTTTCGTTTAGAGATTTTATCAGACTTCGGGAGATTGATCTCTTGAAACCCGATAATTATATCGGTTTTCGTTTAGAGATTTTATCAGACTTCGGGAGATTGATCTCTTGAAACCCGATAATTATATCGGTTTTCGTTTAGAGATTTTATTAGACTTCGGGAGATTGATTCTTGAAACCCGATAATTATATCGGTTTTCGTTTAGAGATTTTATCAGACTTCGGGAGATTGATCTCTTGAAACCCGATAATTATATCGGTTTTCGTTTAGAGATTTTATCAGACTTCGGGAGATTGATCTCTTGAAACCCGATAATTATATCGGTTTTCGTTTAGAGATTTTATCAGACTTCGGGAGACAACTTTTTATTAAATTAATCCTAGCGAATAGTGGGTAGATAAATGGGGTTATTGGCCTCTTTTTTAGTTTTTTCGAACTTTTGATTTTATTATATTTTTTTATTTTACTAAAACTTTTCCCCACAACTTTTTATTAAATTAATCCTAACGAATAGTTGGTAGATGAATGGGGTTATTGGCCTCTTTTTTTTTGAACTTTTGATTTTATTATATTTTTTTATTTCACTAAAACTTTTCCCCACAACTTTTTATTAAATTAATCCTAACGAATAGTAGGTAGATGAATGGGGTTATTGGCCTCTTTTTTAGTTTTTTCGAACTTTTGATTTTATTATATTTTTTATTTTACTAAAACTTTTCCCCACAACTTTTTATTAAATTAATCCTAACGAATAGTAGGTAGATGAATGGGGTTATTGGCCTCTTTTTTAGTTTTTTCGAACTTTTGATTTTATTATATTTTTTTATTTTACTAAAACTTTTCCCCACGACTTTTTATTAAATTAATCCTAACGAATAGTAGGTAGATGAATGGGGTTATTGGCCTCTTTTTTAGTTTTTTGAACTTTTGATTTTATTATATTTTTTTATTTTACTAAAACTTTTCCCCACAACTTTTTATTAAATTAATCCTAACGAATAGTAGGTAGATGAATGGGGTTATTGGCCTCTTTTTTAGTTTTTTCGAACTTTTGATTTTATTATATTTTTTTATTTCACTAAAACTTTTCCCCACAACTTTTTATTAAATTAATCCTAACGAATATTAGGTAGATGAATGGGGTTATTGGCCTCTTTTTTAGTTTTTTCGAACTTTTGATTTTATTATATTTTTTTATTTTACTAAAACTTTTCCCCACAACTTTTTATTAAATTAATCCTTACGAATATTAGGTAGATGAATGGGGTTATTGGCCTCTTTTTTAGTTTTTTCGAACTTTTGATTTTATTATATTTTTTATTTTACTAAAACTTTTCCCCACAACTTTTTATTAAATTAATCCTAACGAATAGTAGGTAGATGAATGGGGTTATTGGCCTCTTTTTTAGTTTTTTCGAACTTTTGATTTTATTATATTTTTTTATTTTACTAAAACTTTTCCCCACGACTTTTTATTAAATTAATCCTAACGAATATTAGGTAGATGAATGGGGTTATTGGCCTCTTTTTTAGTTTTTTGAACTTTTGATTTTATTATATTTTTTTATTTTACTAAAACTTTTCCCCACAACTTTTTATTAAATTAATCCTAACGAATAGTAGGTAGATGAATGGGGTTATTGGCCTCTTTTTTAGTTTTTTCGAACTTTTGATTTTATTATATTTTTTTTATTTTATTAAAACTTTTCCCCACAACTTTTTATTAAATTAATCCTAACGAATAGTAGGTAGATGAATGGGGTTATTGGCCTCTTTTTTGTTTTTTTGAACTTTTGATTTTATTATATTTTTTTATTTCACTAAAACTTTTCCCCACAACTTTTTATTAAATTAATCCTAACGAATATTAGGTAGATGAATGGGGTTATTGGCCTCTTTTTTAGTTTTTTCGAACTTTTGATTTTATTATATTTTTTTATTTTACTAAAACTTTTCCCCACTCGGACGGGGGGTTAACTACTAATAAAAAATTTTTTAATTATTTTAAAAATCGCCACTTTAAATAACCTTAAAAAAACACAAAAATCAATACATAAAAATCACAAAAATCAATAAATAAATTACCTATATAAA